GATGCAGCTAACTCTCGGCTGATGAGTGCCCTCACTCAGGTCAAAGAGCGATACAGCATGCACAACCTCCGCAACGGCCTGTCGCCCACCAACCCCACCAAGCTCTCCATCACTGAGAACGGAGAGTTCAAGAACAGCAGCTGCTGATTGGTGCTCATGGACTTGATGAGCCGTGCCAATTGGTGCTCCCAGACAGATCACCAGCACCGATTGGTCGAGTTCAACACGGACTGAGTACCTAGACTACATGCCTAAACTGACTGACTACTGTAAACATGCGATTGCAAGGAATGTCTGGTTATTAATGTATATAAACCTTATCTAATATTGGTTCTGTACAGAAATGCTACTGCAGAGGAGTGTTTTGAGATTGCGTGGGAGAGTAAAGCGTAGCTTCGGTTCTGACTCAGTGAGTTTGTTTTTTTTAAATGCTGATTTACGCATAACTGCAGATTTAAGATTGCAAACAGATTTTTAATTGTTGCCTAAGATATATGAAGGAGATGTACATATCTTAAAATGGAATTGTTTTAAAAGAAAATATGAAGAAAAGCACATAGGTATCGGCCGTAGTTGTAAATGTCCCCAAGTTGCAGAATCTGACAGGCAGAAATAGATGAAAGGCAATTTTATGCACTCAGTTTTCTAACACAAGGTTTCTATTGTTTTGTTTTCTATTATTATTATTATTTTATCATCATCTTGCAAAAGGTGTTATGACTGATTTTAGTTGACTAAAAGGACACAATTAAGCCAGCCGCAGTTCAATTACAACAAATCTAGAACATATTCAATAAGAAATTGAAATACGTGTTCATTAATTTTACTAAAAAATATGACTGAAGCAGTGGGTTTAATAAATTAAAATATTGAACTGAATTTTCATTTTGACAGATGTAGGCTATTTTACTGGCTCACAACCCAACTTAAAAATTTTTGCCCTATGTGTTTTATGTATCTGACCAGAGTGCTGTGAAACCACCAATCTACAGTGTCACTGCCCTCGTGTTCTAGACAGTCTCACTGCCCTCTTTCTGATCCTGTTTATTGTTTGTTTGCTACTTTTATTGAAAGTCATTGTTTTTCCACTGTGTTCTCACTCTGTCCATATGAGCATCAATGCCTTTAACCTTTTGTGGCACAGAACTCCTCAATGTTTGCTGTTCTCGTAGCGATATATTTGATGGTCAGTCTCAGAGTTGAAAGCTGAGCATTGAATAAAGATGGATTGTGGCCTCATTGATTGTTGTCTGTGTGTGACCTGAAACTGATTTAGCATTTCTGCTTCAATTCATTTAGCCGTTGTTGGCATTAATGCACATTACTAAAAGAAGAGTCATTCCCATTAAATATTGTTGTATTCATTATTATATTGTTTTATATTACATAATTTGGTAGCACTTTACAATAAAGTTCAATTTGTTAACTACATTAGTTAACATGAATTAACAATGAAAATAGTAATAAAGCATTTATTAATCTTAGTTAACGCTGATTCCAACATTTACTAATACAGTATTAAAATAAAAAAAAGTGACTCTGTTAATGTTAGTTAATGAACCTGAGCTAAATTGGAACAACAATGAACAGCTGTATTATTATTAACTAACATTAACAAAGATGAATGAATAATGTAACAAGTGTATTGCTCTTTCTTAGTTAATGCACGGAACCTTATTAAAAAGTGTTACCGAATAGTTTAATACTTTATTCAGCAACGATGCATTGTTGATCAAAAGTGACAGTAAATATAATTTATAATGGTTCAAAATATTTACTTCGAATAAATGCTGTTCCTTCGCGTTTTCTATTCATAAAAGAATCCAGAACAAAAATGAATCGCTCTCCACAAAAATATTAAGCAGTTAAAACCGCAACTGTTGCAACACTGAAAAAAGAATCTTTCTTAGCACTGATCAATAACAGAATCATTTTTAATGCATCATGTGACACTGAAGACTGGAGCAATGGCTGCTTAAAAATTTAGCTTTGCCATCTCAGGAATAAATTACATTTTAAAACACATTCAAATAGAAACATTATTTTAAACTGAAATATTTCACGATATTACCGTTTTATTTACTGTACTTTTGATTAAATAAAGGGTTAGCATAAGACATTTCTTACAAAAAACAATCTTACTGACCCCGAAATTTTGAACTGTAGTATATAGATACAGTTGAAATCATAGTTTCATAATTGTTACAACCCAAAAGTGGGTAGAATTTGATTTCATTTGGAATAAAAATGGATAGAACTCATGGTCCTGGGCCAGGGGTGCCCAAGCTCGGTCCTGGAGGGCCGGTGTCCTGCAGAGTTTAGCTCCAACTTGCCTCAACACACCTGCCTTCAAGTTTCTAGTATGTCTAGTAAGAGCTTGATTAGCTGGTTCAGGGTGTGTTTAATTAGGGTTGGAGCTAAACTCTTCAGGACACCGGCCCTCCAGGACCGAGTTTGGGCACCCCTGTCCTGGACACTGGCCTACAAAATAATATTTTAATGTTTACTTTGAAATGTGCAATTAAACAGCTAAAAAAGTTTGTCATTGCCACTGTCCAGATGTCATATCTCGGATACACCAAAGGATAGGGTTGCCACCCGTCCTTAAAATACGGAATCGTCCCATATTTAAAGGTAAAATGATGCGTCTCGTATCAAATCAATACGGGACGCTGAATGGGAAAGTTATCAATGGATCTGTTCAGTTACTAATAATGAGTGCGCAGTTTGCAGAGAAACTTGCTCATGGTGGACTGTCTGACTTAAAGGGATAGTTCACCCAAAAATGAACATTTTGTCATCGTTTACACGCCCACAAGTTGTTACAAACCTGTAATAATTTCTTTCTTCTGTTAAACATAAAAGAAGATACTTTGAAGAATGTGGGTAACCGAACAGTTTCTGGTCCCCAATGACTCTGATAACGTACTTAGTATTTTTTCTCTACTATGGAAGTTACAGACCTGCAGCTGTTTAGTTACCCTCATTCTTCAAAGTATCATCTTTTGTGTTCAACAGAAAAAAGAAAAAAAACTTTAGAAAAACCTGGGTAAATTATGACAGAAGTTTCATTTTTGGGTGAACCATACCTTTAAAGTGACAGACACATCCGTGCTTCTAAAGGTATAGGCCTATTCTTTTATTAAAATTTGGATAGTCAGTTAGGCTAATATATTTCATACATTATCAGAGTTTAGTAGACATATTATATTTTTAGGCATCATTAGCCAGATTTATTAATAGATTATAGGCCTATTTTATGTTATACCCTATTTATTAATTTATCATTTATATTAATCATAAATATACACATAATAATCATGTCATTTGGCATTTTAAAAAGTAAAAAAAAAAAAAAGCTAACTTATTTAGACAAAAATGGGACAAATAATTACATAATAATGTAGTCCTAATTTAAGCAAATGAATAAAAAAATAATACAAATTCTTCCCATCCTGGTAACAGCTGCAGAACTGTAAAAAAAAAAAAAAGCTAACTTATTTAGACAAAAATGGGACAAATAATTACATAATAATGTAGTCCTAATTTAAGCAAATGAATAAAAAAATAATACAAATTCTTCCCATCCTGGTAACAGCTGCAGAACTGTAAAAAAAAAAAAAGAAAGACTAATAATACTTAATAATTATAAATAAAATGATTTAAAAAGGGGGGGGGGGTCTGCTTTGAAAAAAAAAATGTTTCTGAAAGTAATTTTCAGATACAACGGGGGGAAAAACGGGATAGACACAAACATGAAACTTGTAAATAAAATAATCAGATATATAGCCTATGTACAATTTAATAACATAGCCTAGTTTGATATATGAATTGGGTGTTCGTCAAAAATTGCATGCGGTCTAAGATTCCCGTGTTTACAGCTCTGTAAAATAACCTACTGGAAGCTCTGTAGTTTTGCTGTAAAGGCCTATAGATAAAAATATGAAAATTACAAACACACAATAATCCTTCGGATGAGACTTTAAACTGAGGTCCTGACTCTTTGTGGTCATTACAAATCCCAGGATGTCTTTCGAAAAGAGTAGAGGTGTGACCTCGGCATCCTGGCCAAATTTGCGCATTGGCCTCTGATCATCATGGCCTCCTAACAATCCCCTTATCTACTGATTGGCTTCATCACTCTGTCTCCTCTCCACCAATAAGCTGGTGTGTGGTGGGCGTTCTGGCGCAGTATGGCTGCCGTCGCATCATCCAGGTGGATGCTGCACACTGGTGGTGAATGAGGAGATACCCCCTGACAATGTAAAGCGATTTGAGTGCCTAGAAAAGCACTATATATACTGTATGTAATTAATTATTATTAGTAGTAGTATTAATAACATTTTAAGTTACTTCCATTTCTGAAAAAAATAATGTAGGCCTAGTAATTGATGTTATAAATACACACGCCTGTTTTTTGTTTTAATTATCCATCGTACATAAAAAAAAAACATTTGCAATCAAGACTGAAAAAAGCCAGAAGTGAATGTAAACCAGATTTGGCCCAGACTCTGTTGCTGTCTGTGAAGCCAAGCATAAGAATAGCCTACTAATGTCAATTTGTTAACCCACAGTAACGCATTTGAACAGATTAATCGCATATTTTCGTTTGCTGCATGCTTTTAAAAACACAATTTATATATATATATATATAAATGTTCTCAATAATATTTATACTTTAATGAATCTGCTTTGCACTGTTCCGTTTAGGGCTGCGTCACTTCCTGTTCTGATCTGCCTGCGTGTTCTTCTGCTCTGTAAGCTGCGCTGAATCGTAACATACGTACTTTTCTGAACGTCGTGTGAGTCTTGTTTGGATTTGTGCGAAAGGGCCTTTGTCGGGTATGATACAAACGTAGCCTAGTTCGACTTCATTTTTATTTAATAGTACTTTTATTATATGGCCTAGATATGGCTGCAGGAACCAGCTAACGTTAGCTAATGCTAGCCCATTCATTGCAGCAGACTACCTGCAAATATATAGCCAAAAAAAACTATTTAGCTGTTTAATTGTGTATTTTAAATGTATGATTTTTCTTGTTATGACAGTTTAAAGTGCTAACGAGTTGGATACAGTTATTCTTGCATTAGAGCTTTAAACCTTTTTTCCCCCGCCTAACGTTAATCTTGCAGTCAGTGAGTGCATGGTTCCGTTTAGGCTAACGTTATCTCTGAGAAATGGGACGGTTGCAGAGTTTACCATGTTATTTTCCTATAGGCGATTAATAATCTTGCTTTTATTTTTAATCGTTTTATTAATTTCATTCACATGCAGGCCGTCAACAATGGCGGACATTAAGAACTTCCTGTATGCTTGGTGTGGAAAAAAGAAGCTAACGCCGAACTATGACATCCGAGCAGCTGGAAATAAAAACAGACAGAAATTCTTGTGTGAGGTAAGAATAAGGCTCTTAAAGTCACTTGCAGATTGTATATAAAATACTTTGTAATAAAAGGTGTTTGTTGTTTTGAACCATGTTTCTTTAAGGTGCGTATCGAGGGTTACAGTTACATTGCCATGGGAAATTCTACCAACAAGAAGGATGCTCAGTCCAATGCTGCCCGAGATTTTGTGAATTATCTTGTTCGGACGAAAGAAATTAGTCCTAGTGAAGTTCCTGCTCTAGGGGTCAGTATCACATCTCTGTTTAAAGTTCTTCCACTACTCGTCTGTATTACGAGGAAGGTCTAGGTTTACATTTATCGTTTTCAGGTCAGCGTACCTGATGGAGGGAATGAAGAAGGTGGTGGGTTTGGAAATCTCCCATCCAACTGTCCACTACCTCCACATCTGGCTGTGAAGAAGGAATCGGGGGGAGGTACCTTATGTTATACTTGGATTCATCCAGTAATTGGTTGCTAACAAAACATCTGCTATAATTTAATATCAGTGTTTTAGATGTTGTTTAGATGTCAATGGAGAAAGATGCCTTTTGCCTGCAGATTGGTGTAGTTACGGCATCGACCAGTTGTGGGCTGGTTAGCTAACCGAACCATTTCTAACATTGACTAAAACAACTATTTTAATGCTGTATTCTTCCTGTGTCTCAGAACCTTCTGAGGGTTCTGCATCCGTTCCTGGAGTCACAGGTTTGGGCTATTCTGGATTTGGTAACGCCCAATGGGAGCGAGGAGCCAACCTGCAGGAGTATTACTCTAAGAGAGAGGATCAGGATGCAAAAGCAGTAGGTCTTCATTTTTTTGCCAGGTTTTTATAGAAAGTTTCTGAGAATTAAG